TCAAACAAGAGATGGGGTGGGGGGAAGGGGGATATACATGCACAGATAGACGGAAAAATGATACAAGAGAAGTATAAAGATAGTAGAAGGGAGAGAGTGCCCTATCACTTACGGAATGAAATTACATGCGCCACGCCAGAAAACAATATCAGCTACTCCAACTGTCATCATTTGTCCTACGGCTATCTATAACTATACAGCAAACTACTTCTAAGAAACAACCATGTGTGCTGTGTATGAAAGTCAGACTGTCTTCTGCTTTGCACACAGCTCACAAGTCACCAGAAATTACTGGACACATGTAAAATGACAGTAGCCGAAAGACAGTCAAATCACAAACTTCCAAAAGATTCACTTAAACATCAGCACACAAATAGTCGGTATTCTGTTTAGGTTTGACTAATCCATATATTTGAGTTAACAGAATTAGATTTTACAGGACTTTTAATGCAGATAAAGAAAGAAAATGGCTTAGACTTAACAGATCACATTGACTTAATGAAATTCGTCTTATCAGAGTTCGACTTAAGTGGACTCGACTGTATTTTATTTATTTTCTATTTTTGTTTAAAATTTATTTGCTTTTGCCAACACCAACTTGTGCAGTTAGTTAGTGGGATGTGAATGAATATTCTTCAGCAACTTTTTGACATTATAGTAATTGTAAGTACATATGTGTACTTCCCTTGAAGATTAACAAAGAAATAACAGTTGTACCTTTCCTCCTTCCGATTTTCTCTCCAGCTTTAAAGTTTGAGCTCCGTGAAATTACATAACAAAATATCAGCCTGGAGGGCAAGCCAATGGGGCAAATCCCAGGTACCCCGTTCAACCTTAAGAGAAGTTATAATTGGGACTTCTGTATCACAGATGGCTATCTATCTCAGCCTGGCATAAAATACAGTTCTTTGGTCATTTATTAGACCGGGAATGGTTCATTAGGGTGGAGGATATAAAATATGAATTGCAAAAAGCAAAAGACACTGCCCAGACGAAGTCAGGTATGCCCACATGAAGAGCATGAGTGATGAAGACTTGAGGGAGATGACATTTCACTTTAAACAGAGCATCAGAACAGCTTCAGTTCCCCAGGATTGGATACACAGATACCTAATCCCACTTCCAAAACCAGACAAAGATTATTCCAGACTCAGAGGTTTCAGGATTATCACCCTACAAAATACTTTTGGCAAGGTGCTAGAGAAGATTATTGCTGTTTAACTACAAGTATTTTTTAAAGGGAAGAGCTCCTGCCAGAAGGTTTTGGTAGTTACTCGCCACAGAAAGATTCATGGTCAAATGCAGCGGCTTTTGCTTTTGATGTTTATAAGGAGTTCCAGAACAGACAGGAGACGGTTGTGGCAGCACTTGATCTTGAGGATGCCTACAGTAGAGTCAGATATGATATTTTTATATCTGCACTCATGGAGAAGGGGTTTGTCCCTGGCTTGTGAATTGGATAGCAGCTGCATTCAGGTATGATTGCCCTTCGCCTGGGTACATGGACCTCAGAACCATGTAATATCGTCGTAGGACCACCCCAGGGTTCTGCAATTTCACCAGTGCTCTTCAGTGTGTTTACAAGCAAGATTGCAGAACTTGAAGCACCTGGTGTTGGAAGGATATTGACATTTGCAGATGATGTGCTTGCATGTAGGCAAGGACATGATAGACAACGGATAGTCTAGGAGCTGCAGGCAACTGTAAACAAAGTGACTGACTGGTGTGCAGAAATAGGTGCTGTCATCAATTCAGAAAAGATGGCTCTCTAGACAATAGAATTGTAAGAGATTATGTTCCAAGCCTCACAGTTAATAACAGTAACATAAAAAGATAAATCAAACTGAGGTACCTGGGTATCACTTTCGATAGAAGCCTGTCCTATAGGAATCATGTGGAGGCAGTTGTGGTGAAATGCCAAAAAGGACTCAATGCTCTCAAGATTATGGTAACAATGGACATGAAACAAAAAATGCTTTTCACAATGTTCCAGCATGTGATCGTGTCAGTGATAGATTATGGGCTTGGCTTGGAATGCTTCCCATATCAAAGAGTCAGCTGATGAAACTTGAACACATACAGAATGATGCCATGCAGGTAATTTTGGGGATGTACAAGAGGTACCCTGGTAGTATGCATGCGATATATACTTGCACTGCCTACTGTTGCAGATAGGCTCAAAATTCTGCAAGCAAAGTCATATCTCAGATTAGCTGCAGACAATAAGCACCTTCTGCATGAAGCCCTGGGTAGAGCTAAGGGTCACAGACTGAAAAGAGGAACATCTTCGATGGTGCAAGCAGAAGACACAATCAGACTAGTGTGCAGGCTTGATAAATTTGGGCAAGGAGAGGAGTGGGTCAAGGTGTCCGAGCAAGTTTCAGACTTGTGTAGGGTTCTAATTAATTTAGATCATGAATGCAGGGACCGGTTAGCTTACGCTGTGCTTCAGAAGTTCAACAAATGATTCATGGTAATTCCTGCCCAAGTGATGTGATTATTTATACAGATGGCTCTGTGTTGAGAAGCAGACGAAGTGCATGGGGGTTCATAGCAAAAGCGAATGAATGGTCATCGCTTAGTGCAAAAAAGCCTTGCATATGATATTACAACATCTAGCTTGAGAATAGAGGTGGAGGCAGTCACTGCTGCCTTCCCCTGGCTTGAGAATCAGCTGTACACACATGCCATGTTTGTAACTGACTCACAGAGCTTGTTGAGAAAGGTGGAGACAGGCATGCTCCGTGCAGAGTGGCAAGCATCACTTTAGAGGTTCCGGGTAGTTAGCGTCCTTTGGATATTTACTCCAGGTCATGCTGAGGTGTTATGAAATGAGCAGGCTGATAGACTGGCCGGCTCTGCACAGCTTGTTTGGTGAATTGATATATGACAAGCTAGATTTTGCTAGGACCCTTTGGGAGAAAGTGAACAGTGAGGAGGCATAGATAGTTCATTATGGTCTGAGGAGAATGGCACTGCGAGGAGTTAACAGGGGATCTGGCAGATGCTTAACACTCAGGGGAAAGTGAGACACGCATATACAATCAGTTAGTTACTGGTGCCATCAGAATTGGAACTCTCCGTTTGCTGCTGAAGATGGGGACGGTGCACTTACAGGAGTATCCCGAATACTATGATGTTGATTCCCAATTCAACATTTAACATACATAATATGTACTCTGTTGCATCAATTCTAGATAAATTTTTGACCCTATCAGTGTAATTTTTGCCCAATTTACTATTTGTATATATTTCTTTTTTGTGTGGTCATGAGTGGATGGTGGTAGGTCGAGGAGAAGGTGTATGTGTAGAGATTACGCATATAGTTAATTTTATATGTATATATGTGTGTGTGTGTGTGTGTGTGTATATATATATATATAAGGCAGAAAGGTGCCAGCCATATGTAGAGGAGTTGCATTGCATGCATAGTTCACATATAAATGGATGTTGTGTGATGACTCCATGCTTGTACACATGTGAATGTATGTGTAGAGATTATGTACCTGGTTCATGATATGCTACTGATATTTTGTTGAATTAGTTCCTGCCGGTAAAGCTAAGAGGAGGTAAAACATTAAATCTGTACTTAAAACATAGCTGTTGTATGATAGCAAAAGAAGAACTCATATGTTGGTGCTCTCTGTTCCTTTAGTAAGCAGAATTGCTTGGTTGTTGCACTGCTGGTTTGCTATAAAGATTTACATGGTATGTTGGTGTGGCAACAGATGTGACAGACCTATCTCCCGTTGTGTGTAGTTGGGTGTACATTGAATTATCATTGGCCCTGAGATTAGGCAGTTGATATTACAACCCTCATAGTCTGTGTAATCATAATTTATGGTGCAACATGTTTTTTGATTTGTTAATTCTGTTGTTCTTCCCGCATCCGTCTTCCTATCCTGCCTGTGTCTTCTGCTCTCTGTCTATTTCTGTCACCTTACCTCCTCACTCTTCCTCCCTTTCCACTGTCTCTCTTCTTCTTCTTTATCATAAAATATGCAACCTGTTTTTTAAGCTGTTTATTCTGTTGTTTTACCCACATTCCTAATCCTTTTTTGCTCTTTTTATCTACCCCTCTGTCTCTCCCCTACCCCCTTCCTCTTTTTCAGCTCTTTCCTCGTTTTTTTTATTTTCTTCTTCTCTATGTCCTTTTATCTAACTTTCTCTCCTTTTTTCATTGTCTGACTGTCTTCATCACTCTTGTTCTGTCTATCTCTATGGGTGTAAAACCGCTCTTTTAAAGGCAAATGCAGAGGAAGGAGTTTCCATTGTTTAGCTGGAGATTTTACAGTCAAGAATATTGATCTCACCCCCCACCCCACCCCCACCCTCCTTCCCCTTTTTTTCTTTCCTGAGATAGTGAACTGAGTTCTAATTTCCTCAGATAGACGTAAACAACTATGAAGATCTTTATACACTTTGCTCATATCCTCTGCATGACAAATGGAGATATATATTAGAAAAAATCTGGCAAAATGTCAGAATCAGAAAACCAACCCACAGAAGGGTGTAGACAACCTTCTATATTCTAAAGGTTGTGCACACTTTGGAATCCTCACCCGAATCAGTGTGCTGTATTGAGATCTCTGTTGATGTGTGATCTTTAGGGTAGGGCTGGTGTGATCTCTAGGGTAGGACTGGTATGATCTCTAGGGTAGGGCTGGTGTGATCTCTAGGGTAGGGCTGGTGTGATCTCTAGGGTAGGGCTGCATTGTATGTCAGCAATCAGTGGAGAAGATCCTTGACCAACATACATTGTTTTTTTTTTTGCCTGTCAGTCTCTCCATCTTCTCATCTGTGTGTGACTAGAAAAGTTGATATCATTTAAGATTATTATTATTATTAATATTATTATTTTTAAATGGATACCACAGTAGTCAGTATTGGATGCAGAAGTTGGTAACAATATCACATACTTCATGTTTTGGTGTTTAATTTGGTATTTATTCTGTGTGTATAAGATGATTGGGATGTTTATCTCACATTTCATTTGGCAGGTCACACTGTTCAGTCACATTGTGTCAGGGGAGGTGGCTTCACTGACTGAAAGTAATTTTGAGAGTGTTGTAGGTAAGTGCACTTCACTCTTGTTTTAGGTGCAGGTTTTTGATGTTTGTGTCTGTTTTAGCTACAGGTTTTCCAAGTTGGAGTCTGCTTTAGATACATGTTTTTGATGTTGAATCTGTTTTAGGTACTGGTTTTTTATGTTGAAGTTTGTTTTTTAGATACAGGTTTTTGATGCTGAAGTCTGTTTTAGATACAGGTTTTTGATATTGAATCTGTTTTTGGCACTAATTTTTGATGTTTGAATGTGTTTTAAGTAGATTTCTGTAGTCTTTGAATTTCTATGGTCTTAGTTCAATTTTCTATCAGCTTGTTCAGAGGTGAGGAAATAACACTGGCATTGGATAGGACACATGTTAGAAAACCAGATAACAGTATAACTAGAATGTCCTTTCACTGGAACCCACAGGATCAGAAGAAGAAAGCAGACCAGAAATAGCATGGTAAAGAGAACTAGAGAAGGAAGTAGGGAAAAATGTGGAGGACGTGGTGAGCTGCATGAGAGAGCAAAAGATAGGAAGATGTCACGAGCTGATTGAGGGCTTATCTGTTGTAAGTCTAAATTAGAAGCTCTGGTAGGCAAGACAGATATATAACCAGATTATGACCAGTACCATTAGTATTGGAACTATGCGCTGATTGCCGAAGATGAGGATGGAGCACGCATGGGAATGCCCTGAGTGCTGTGATGTCAATTTTTGACTTACTCAACTCAACTGGTAGGCTGTATATAACAACCGAAGGCTAGTTTTCTGAATAAGTTTTCCAATAAGGATAAGGATCTTCTTCATGAGATGGATTTGCTGCCTCTGCTTGAATTATTCTCCATGTTATCTTCTTGTAACTTGATCCATCTGTTGTTACCATTGATTTTAAAGATTATATCAGCACACTTAACACTTTCAGTCCCAAGTGTGTGAGTGACACCATCTGTTGATTTCCTTTTAAAACATGTTAACAGTTAGTCAGAACAGACTAAAGGAAACTGGCTTGTTCCTTTAGTTTATTCAGACTAAATGTTAAAATTAACACTGCGCTTATTGCCACTTGAATGGTAACGCATTCATGTTTTTTCATTGTGGTTATTTCTTCACTTCAGTAGCTCTTATGAAACTGCCCGGTACTGAAAGAGTTAATATAGATAGATAGATGTATTCATATGTGAACCAGCATTGGATTTTCTTAGCAATGTTTATCTTCTTGTTGTTTCTCTTACAGCTGGCAGTGATGTAGCTATAGTCAATTTTTATGCTGACTGGTAAGTATTTGTTCCTTGTTTTTCCTGTCAATTGTATGTTCCTTTTTTATTTTTTTTTCATTTTTGTGTGTGTGGGTGGGTGGGATGTTTTGTACTTTATCTCTAGAACTGAAAAAAAAAACTCTTATTTTTTTTAATTTTTACTCTTGTTTTAAAGGAAAGAGTCAGAGACCATGTTTCCATATAATCTTCCTGTCACTCAGAGAAGCCGCAGACCCTGCATTTCCATCACTGCCCTGTTCTTTAAAGGCAGTAAAACGGGCATGTCTGCAGTGACTTGTTTCCGAGACGTGTAATGTGTAATTGGTTCTGTTTACATCTGCGCAGCAATTAGGGGATCTGATTATGAATATGTTTTCTAAAAGTAGCGTGGGGGGGGGGGGGGTCCCTCGTGAACCAAATGAATTTGTTTAAACAGCCAGTTATGTTGACATCTAATTTTCCCATAGCCTCAGTGATAGATTTCACTTGATACATATTTATTTCAGGCTCCAGGAAAGGTATTCTTTTTAATGGCTCACTCTGTGTTTATTGATTGTTTCCTTTATATATGTTCATATACCACAAACAGTTTTAAACAAAACTGTTATAGTGACACATGTAAAATGGGAATTTTTTTTTTTCAAAGGAATTTTTTTTCAGGAATTTAATTCAGTTCCCTATTTTTACCCCAGCATTTACGAGGGCGAAAAGTTTAATATTTTGGGAGTAATTAAATAAAGAGCCGCTTCCACGTTAAGAGGCATATTAGGTATAAGGTGCTAGCCCCAGTAAACAAAACAAAAACGGACCAGTCGGTACTCCTTGGGTGATATGTACAGTAGTATCACACTAGCTGCCTTTCCTTCTCACAAGGAACTGTTACCATTTTTTTTTTTTAAATTCTTGGTTGACCGGGGAGCCAGAGCTGATATTTCAGTCCTCCTCAGTGGTGATTCAAACCTACCACCATCAGGTCAGCAGGGAAGCATGCTGGCCACTGAAGTGCCCTGAGCATAGGGTACTGGGCACTTTTTTGCTTGACCAAACAGCACTTGATTGCTGACGCTGCTATGTTACTGTAGCTCCTAATTCTTCAGTATGTGTTTAAAGACAAGATGGTTGGCTTGTTGTGTTAGGCTATTTTACGTTAAGTAGTTTGCCACTGCCACTTATTCTTAGTGTTACTGCTGACACCATAGTCCTTGTTTCAAACTGTAAACCATTGTCAAAAGTAATCCAAAGCTGCTGTATATCAACAGGGTCACTGGTCATTTTATGTGATCACAATAACTTTCAACTTTCTGTAAGCAGTATCTACATTGTGTAAAACTTCTTAGTTTATCCTTTTTTTTATATATATCTATACACACATCTTGCAGTAAATAAACAACACACGTCAAGAGGAGTTTCCTGTGAGTATTTTCTTTTGGTAATAAATGAATATGGATGCCATATGTTGTTTCTCGTGATTTTGTGACATCTTACACACATCTTGCAGTAAATAAACAACACACGTCTCTGCCTTGCTGGAAAAAACTGCTTTAAAAAAAAAAACTAAGTGGGAAATGGATGATAGAAGGTCAGAATGATAGAAACACTTGAGGGGAAAATGGATGTTAGAAGGTCAAAATGATAGAACTGCTTGAGGGAAAGATGGATGTTAGAAGGTCAGAATGATAGAACTGCTTGAGGGAAAGATGGATGATAGAAGGGCAGAATGATAGAACTGCTTGAGGGAAAGATGGATGATAGAAGGGCAGAATGATAGAACTGCTTGAGTGGAAGATGGAATATATAAGGGCAGAATGATGGAACTGCTTGAGTGGAAGATGGATGTTAGCGAGGTTAGACAGAGATGATGCTGTACCAAGTGTAGTAAGTTAGATAACTAGCCCTCTCATATAAATGAGGGACATAAGTACAAGAGTTATTGTGTTTGAGTGTCTGTTTTGATCTGCTTCTCCACATGTTTCTGTTTGTTTACGCCAGGTCCCTGGGAAGATCCTGTTTGCCAAAGTGGACTGTGATAGAGAGAGTAAGTATATCTCATGTCTTTTCTTTTGTCTACTTGTCTGCGGCTTTTAATGAGTTAGTCTGTGTTGTGTCAGTTTGTTCGCTAACTATAAAAGGTTTAAAATCAAAGGAATCGGCTTTATTGCACATGGTTTTATCCTGTGTGGATAGACCTCTTTCTGCAGAACGTGTCTGCTAAGAGTGTCACTCAAAGCACAGATTCCATAGCTACAGCAGTAGTCCTCAGGGATCTCAGAAAACAAATTGTATTCATGAACCAGATGAAAGAGTTTATGAAATGAACCCATCACATTCAGAGCAAGAGGCAAATGGCTAGGCCACAGTAACCCTGGGAGCCAGGGTGGTGTAGGGGCTAGATGCACACTTGCCAGCTCGAAGATCATGGCTTTGAATCACTGCATGACAGCACTTTTTTTTTTTTTAATGATCTTGGCTCCCAGGTCATCGCAGTCTACAGTGGGTGCTAAGTAAAGTGGGGAGTGAAGGCGGCCGACATGATGTTAACCACATTACCCATAGAATGCTGACTGGGCCGTAGAAATGAGCTTGGCAACATGTCCAGCATACTAGTGGCATAAAAGGGCTGTTTACTTACAGACAGGGCTGTTTTCTGGTGGGACACAACGGTACGCAGTACCCACACCTTTTGTTTTAAAAAGCATAAATTGTTTTCAGTGCTAGTCAAATAGATGTTGCGAGAACAGACACCTCTTTTCAGCACTTTTTGGTTACTACCATTATCTATTTTTAGCTTACAGAGAACTTTACTCATTAACTACGAATACAGACGACATCAGAGTAAAAATCTTGTGAAAACTGAGGTATTTGGTAACATCATGTCGACACACAAACAGGAGCCACATAACATCTTACTCTCACTAAAGAATAGGTTTGAATCCACGCTTAGCTGATTTAATTAAAAAAAATTTTGCAGGTCTATCCGTCTTAAGTTGATTACCAGAATATGTCATGGGAAGTAAAAGCAGCTCATTTGATACTGATCACATCATTCATCCATGGAGTGCTGTTCTATCTATAAAAGTATGGATCTAGCATCATATAGCTTATGTATGAGTGGTGTAGAAAAAACAGTTTTTGACAGTCAAACTGTGGTTAACCGTCACTTTTTTAACCATCAGTTCTTGTTATCCGTCATTGTCTAGAAAATAATGTATGTTTTCAACAAACAAAAACCGCTGTCCACAGAAGGAGATGATAGACTATTTTAAAGTAACATAGGTTTATAGTGTTTCAATACATTCCTGTTCATTACTACTCTTATATTGAAGTTTGTTTCGATCATTTTGTAAAATATAAATACAAAATATATATATGTATTATTCACCTGTAAAGGATTTTATGTTTATTTTCGTCCCAAGCCTGCTGTAATATCACATTGCCTTACAAATGTGTTTAAGAGATTTCTGTTATCCATGTAAATAGTTATCCATAACAGCCCTGGTCCTGACGGTTACGGTTAATCAGAGTTTAAAGATCCAGTGCAAGAAGTTGCACATATAGACAACCTGGATGACCTAGATGTGAGTCCACACTTCTTTTTTTTTAAATTTGGGTGAGGGGTGGTGGAGGATGTGATTGAGGTATAGAAAGACAGAGAGGTTAATCGCAAGTGGCTGGGGAGTGTTAAAGTATCGATTCACATGGTTAGAGATCACACAGACATTTGACAGTTTGGGTTTGACACAAGGAGATATGAAATAGATATCATTATTGATTGAGGCGCATGGACTTTTGCCGTTATATCTGCAGGGAGAACTGTAAAGAAAAATAGCAGTGCTTCTGCCTTTACTGCAAATAGTCTTAACGATGGAGGTGATAGTGGTAACAAAAGCAGTGACGTGGCTAGAGACACAGAGATTTCTCTCTGCTTGCTTTCTAACTGGTTCTATGATCATGCTTGAGAAAAGACAAGTCAGGATGGTCTTGAAGACGGTGGTTGGAGTGGCTGAGGAAATCTCATCTGACAGGACTAAGTTTCATTTTGTTGTTGTTGCCATGACACTGTAGGGTAAGAGGGAATAAACGAGTGGATTGGTTTTGCTTGCAGGCCATGGTAGGGACAGGAAAAGCAGTGGATTGAATGTTGAATTAAAAATCAACATCATGGTACTCGGGACGCTCCAATAAGTGCTCCATCCCCATCTTGAACAGCAAGCGAAGAGTTCCAGCTCTGACGGCACTTGTAGCTGTCTCACCTTTCCCTTGAGTATTGAGTGTCAGCCAAATCCCCTGGTAGCTACTCACAGAGCCATTCTCTCGAGACCTTAATGATCTGTGTGTTTCTCCGCACTGTTGATCACTCCCAGAGGACCCTCACAACATCTAGCTTGTCTTTCATCAGTTCACCACCAAGTGGTGCTGAACCGGCCAGTTTGTCTGTCTGCTCACTTCCCAGCACACCGGCATCACCTGGAGAAAATACATTTGTGTTGGTAGTGATAGAGTTTTACCCACACATTTATGTTGGTAGGGACATAGTGTAACCTATAAATTTGTGTTTTTAGGGACAGAATGTAACCCATACATTTGTGTTAGTAATGATAGAGTGTAACCCATACTGTCTTGGTAGTGATAGAGTGTAACACATATTTTGTGTGTGTTAGAAGTGATAGTGTGTGATATATTTATGTTGGAAGTGATAGAAGAGTGTACCACGTGTATTTTGTATTGAAGTGATAGAATTTAACACATACATTTGTTCTTCAGACTAAGAAGCGACACATGATTGGCTGTTTTGAGAGTAAAGTCTCTGACAGCTCCAGGACATTTTCTCGAGTGGCCAGCATGCATAGGGATGACTGTGAATTTCATGCAGCTTTTGGGTAGGGTACCTACTGTCCTGATGTATGCTTGTATGTTTGTATGAATTGTTATAGCTTTCACTGTAAACTTGAGGGACGTATATGTGTTGGTATTCACTGTAACTTGAGAGATGTATGGTGTTGGTCTTCACTGTAATGGGAATAATTTATAATGTTGTTCTCTACTGTGATGGAAGGGACTTATAATGTTGGTCTTCACTGTAACCTGAAGGACATATAAGGTTGTTTCTCACTGTAATGTAAAGGTCATATAAAGTTGTTTTCACCCTAGCATGAAGGAATATAATGTTGGTCTTCATTGTAACTTGAACGACATACAAGGTCTGACAATTAATTGAGACTGATTTTATTATGGCTAAGACAAGAATGCCATCTACGAATTACAGGAGGGAATCCAAAGAGGCTACCTTCCTCTATGGACTGGCAACTTTTCATCGCCATCCGATAAGCAGACAAGCAAGCCGCCATTTTTTTAACCTAGTCAGAGGTGCATTGTTACGTAATCAGCATGGAGCACCAACAAAAAAATGAGCTAACATTAAATTCTGTTTAAAACTCAGAAAAAGCACCATTGCGACAGCTGAATTGATGCGACAGGTTTATGGGGATTGGTGTTTATCTCGTGCACAGATTTTTAGCTGGTGTTCAGGATTCAAAAGTGGTGTGGAAATTATTACTAATGCAACTAGATCTGGACGCCAAATTTCTCTTGGTCATGAGGAACTCATTGCAAAATTCAGAGAATGGATACAAGAAGATTGTTGTTCGACTGTGAGGATGATGGTCGATGAATTTGGTGTTAATACAGACACTAGTTGTAAAATTTTAGTGGAAGATTTGAACAAGAAAAAAAGTTTCTTGCCGGTTGGTATTCAACACTTAAAGGAATATAATGTTGCTTTTCACTGTAACTTGAAGGACATATAAAGTTGGTCTTCACTGTAATGTGAAGGACATAATGCCGTTCTTTGCTGTAACAGGAAGGACACATACTGTCGATATTCACTGTAGCATGAAGGAGAAAAGTTCACAAGCTGCACCATTTTGCAGAAGGAGACTAAGCCGTAAGGGATAAAACCTGGTGTGATGAAGCCATTCCTCTCCACTTGAAACTTTTGAGATTTCTATAACTCTGTCCTGACTTGGCTGTCTGGTTTTTGTGTTTCAGGCAAGTATGTGAAGCAGAGAGGACAGCTGGTGACTTTGTTAGTTTCAGACCACCAAATGTAAGTGTTTTCTCTCTCTCTCTCTCTCTCTCTCTCTCTCTCTCTCTCTCTCTCTCTCTCTCTCTCTCTCTCTCTCTCTCTCTCTCTCTCTCTCTCTCTCTCTCTCTCTCTCTCTCTCTCTCTCTCTCTCTCTCTCTCTCTCTCTCTCTCTCTTTCTCTCTCTCTCTCTCTCTTTCTCGATCTCTCTCTTTCTCTCTCTCTCTCTCTCTCGATCTTTCTCTCTCTGTCTCTCGATCTCTCTTGACACAGTGAGCTGTGGATTACATGTGATTTTGTTGTTGTTAAGTTAACTAATGATTAATGACATATTAACTCTTTCAGTTCCAAATAACGCTGCACTGGGTTTTCTTGTATTCACCAGTTAAAATATTTGTATGCTTACACATTTTATGTTTCATTGGGGCATGCTAAAACCATTTAACAACACATCTGTTGTGTATTTTGACCCTATTTAAGTAGTATACCCATTATTTTGTGGATGTCACAATTGACTCACCAGGGCATCAACTGTGACCTTCTGGGATGCAAAGAATTAATAATAATGTTATAATTACTGGGTACTGCTCCACAGACACTACACCAGGATGTCAAGTACACTGGCTCGTTGACAGATTTTACAGCACTGCAGCAATGGGTGGCTAGCAAATGTGTGCCAATAGTTCGGGAAATCACCTTTGAGAATGCAGAGGTTAGTTTCTGTGTCTCTGATAATTAGATAGTTTAACATCCTTCCATGCCCAGGCAGAAGACTGTTTAGAAACTTCTCGCATTGTCTTTGTGTATCTCTCTATTCATTAATCTTTCCAGTTATCATAACCTGTTCTAGTTTCTTCCCATAACATGACTAAATGATAATGATCTCTTTCAGATGTTTGTGATAAGCTGTCTTTATGTGCTAGCCTCTTGCTTTTTCCAAAAATCCTTGTTACTCAGTTATGGCTGAGCCAGGAATTTTAAGTATTCTTCTGTAAAACCGCATCTCTGAGGTCTCAACATTTTTCTTGTGTTTACTGGTTACCCAGGATTCACAGCCGGATGTTAAAACTTGTTTGTTTAAAGCTTTGTTCCTCAGCCGGTGGGCCATGGAAAAAATCCAGGTGTGCTGCCGACAATTTCTGCCTAATCATGTGATGGTGGTTCTCTTCCAGGACTGCAGTCAGTAGGTACACCTCAGGGATGAAAATCAAGCAGGTACAAATTCAGGAAACCCTATTCAGCTGCATAAAACAGTTACATTAGGGAGCCTGACAGTTATGTAATCTGTAGTCAAAGCTGGACTGGAAATGAGGACTTTAACTCATGTAGCAGCTATGATTCCGGCCCTACATTTTTGCAAAGAAAATGTGGTATTGTGGCGATGAAATGTTAGGTGCTGCCACCCAATATTAGTATTGTTTCAGCTTCACCTGTCCACATGTCTTAGAATTCTTATTTCATTGTGCTTGTCCATATTGATTTTTTATGTCGTGCTGTTTTTTTAGGAAAACAAGTTACTTCTTTTGTTAAATTTCAAATGGCGACAGAAAAGTCGGGCAACAAAACGTTTTAACCTTCTTTAGTAGAGGTAAGGAACGTACCGCGATCGAAACCCACTGCGGGCTGCGTGGATTTTTATCGTGGTATGATACATCGCAGGTCGACCCAGCCTCAAATGGGTACCATGATGGGCTGTCCTGGGAAAGTAAAGACGGCCGGCGTAATGCTGACCACATTACCAACCGAGTGCCGATTGGTCTGTAAAAATATGGGTGCTCTTCCCATATGCCCGATGCGCCTAAGGGCGTGTAAAGGGATCTTTACTTTTTTTTTTTAGTAAAGGCAAGGACAGTGTTCAGGAGACCAATGTTAATGATAATTAAATATGCCAAGTACTTTAAGTACTTTAAATTTAGAAGAAACAAATTCAGATAAAATATGTTGATGTTTCAAAATGTGCAGTACCCACCAAAAAGAGAAAAGTAAACGATGTTCAGTATTTCAGCACATGTTTCACAAGATTGGTTTCACTGTTGCTCCTGGCAGTGAACTCTCGCATGGCTTACTTAGAAACTGTCAACTGAGGCTGTGCAATCTTCCAAACTTTTTTCAGAGATTGACCAGGTGATAAATCAGGAAAGTCTAGATGTCGTTTAAGAAATAGTAGGTCCTCAGACAACTGAAAACTGGAGGCTATACTCCTTTCGGACACCACCATTCAGAGAAGAATTTTTGGTATGCTACTAAAGAAAGCCATGTTGTAGAAGGGATAAAGAAATTGAGAAATTTCACGATCAAACTTGAGGAGTCAAGATATGGGAGTTACCATACTATCCTTCTTTGCTTCTTTAGGTATCAAGAAGATGAAAACTAAAGGGAAGAACATCTTTACTGCCTCAACATGCTTGGATGGACCACTAATTGAGAGATATGTAATGCTCATTATGGATATTTTCAAGCGCAGAGTTTAGCCTGGAGCAAATGTGTCAGAGTGTGTAATGGATGGTGACACAAGCATGACCAGCCTTCGCTCAGGAACAGCTGTAAAAATAAAATAAGTTGCGCACCCAGAGGTTTAATATATTCACGGTATCTTCCACCAGGAGCAACACTGCTGCAGAAAAGTTTTTTGCTCAACTAACTAGTGTGGTGAAGATCATAAATGGAATTTGCAGTCAAGCTTTTAGCTTCAGGCTGTTCGCGACACTACATGAGATCAGGGCACTCATATCACCAACATCTTCTTCATGCAGAAGTGAGATGGTTATCAAGAGGACGGATTCTTGCATGCCTTTTTTAACTGAGCGAGGAAGTAAAGCAACTCCTCCTAAAGCAGAAATCCAACCTAGCAGGTTCTTTGTTGAATGAAGAATGGTTGGCTAAGCTGGCATATATGGTGTAGCATATTTAGCTGCCCTAAAAAACACTACTAATAATCTGCTATATCTTTTTTGTTTTTGTGTTTGGTTAGCTATCAGGTGTGCCATGAAACACTCCTCTGTTTGGTGGGTACTTGTGTAAAAAAAATGTTGAGAAACACTGCTTTAGAGCATTAAGTTCCTTTTGTTTTTTCACACTCTGAATGGCAGGGATTTATGACATACAATGTTCATCATTGTATAAAATGCAGTTTCAGACTGTCCTGTTCTGTTTGTTTTTGTGATGTGCCTTCAGATGTTATCCCTGTGCCTACATACTGAATCTTCTGTACTTGTCACAAAATAATTTGGATGTATATATATTAGGTTAGATCTGAATTGATTTGTCAAATGTAAAACAGGAGCTGACAGAAGAAGGCCTTCCATTCCTGATCCTCTTCCATCACCCTGATGACACAGCCAGTGTTGAGCTCTTTAATCAGGAGGTTAACAATCAGTTGTTGCAAGAAAAAGGTCAGTAGTTGAGTGTAACAATGTTGAAAGCAGGCTGTTGGGCGTAGCAGTGTTGAGAGCAGGCTGTTGGATGTAGTGTTGAGAGCAGGCTGTTGGGCGTAGCAGTGTTGAGAGCAGGCTGTTGGATGTAGTGTTGAGAGCAGGCTGGTGGATGTAGTGTTGAGAGCAGGCTGTTGGATGTAACAGTGTTGAAAGCAGGCTGTTGGGCGTAGCAGTGTTGAGAGCAGGCTGTTGGATGTAGTGTTGAGAGCAGGCTGTTGGATGTAGCAGTGTTGAGAGCAGGCTGTTGGATGTAGTGTCGAGAGCAGGCTGTTGGATGTAGCAGTGCCGAGAGTAGGCTGTTGGATGTAGTGTTGAGAGCAGGCTGTTGGCTGTAGTGTTGAGAGCAGGCTGTTGGCTGTAGTGTTGAAAGCAGGCTGTTGGATGTAACAGTGTTGAAAGCAGGCTGTTTGATGTAGCTGTGTTGAGAGCAGGCTGTTTGATGTAACAGTGTTGAGAGCAGGCTGTTTGATGTAACAGTGTTGAGAGCAGGCTGTTGGATGTAGTGTTGAGAGCAGGCTGTTGGATGTAGTGTTGAGAGCAGGCTGTTGGATGTAACAGTGTTGAAAGCAGGCTGTTTGATGTAACAGTGTTGAAAGCAGGCTGTTGGATGTAACAGTGTTGAGAGCAGGCTGTTTGATGTAACAGTGTTGAGAGCAGGCTGTTTGATGTAACAGTGTTGAGAGCAGGCTGTTTGATGTAACAGTGTTGAGAGCAGGCTGTTTGATGTAACAGTGTTGAGAGCAGGCTGTTTGATGTAACAGTGTTGAGAGCAGGCTGTTTGATGTAACAGTGTTGAGAGCAGGCTGTTGGATGTAGTGTTGAGAGCAGGCTGTTGGATGTAGTGTTGAGAGCAGGCTGTTGGATGTAGTGTTGAGAGCAGGCTGTTTGATGTAACAGTGTTGAGAGCAGGCTGTTGGATGTAACAGTGTTGAGAGCAGGCTGTTTGATGTAGCTGTGTTGAGAGCAGGCTGTTGGATGTAACAGTGTTGAGAGCAGGCTGTTTGATGTAACAGTGTTGAGAGCAGGCTGTTGGATGTAGTGTTGAGAGCAGGCTGTTGGATGTAGCAGTGTTGAGAGCAGGCTGTTGGATGTAGCTGTGTTGAGAGCAGGCTGTTTAATAAAGCAGTGTTGAGAGCAGGCTGTTGGATGTAGCTGTGTTGAGAGCAGGCTGTTGGATAAAGCAGTGTTGAGAGCAGGCTGTTGGATGTAGCTGTGTTGAGAGCAGGCTGTTGGATAAAGCAGTGTTCAGAGGAGAGCAGGCTGTTGATTGTAGCAGTGTTGAGAGGAGAACAGGCTGTTGATTGTAGCAGAGTTGAGAAGAGAAGATTGTACTAAAGCCAATGTTAAGATGCCCACATGTCCTGTAATTTCTATTGTCAGTGTTAATATCCTCACATATCCTGTACTTTTTCCAACCAGTGTTAGCATCCCTTTATATCATATACATTTTACTGCTGATGTACTGCACATATCCTGTAATATTTAGTCAGTGTTATACCTCCTATATCCTATATTTTCTTCTGCCAGTGTTAGCATCCCCATACATCCTGTACTTTCTACAGCCAGTGTTGATATCTCCACAGATCCTGTGCTTTCTACATTCAGTGTTAACATCCCTACACATCCTGTACTTTCTACAGCCAATGTTAACATACCTATATATCATGTAGATTTATGTATATTTTGCAGCCAGTGTTAACATTCCCACACATCCTGTACTCTCAACAGACAATTTTAATATACCCATATACCATGTATATTTTACAGCCAGTGTTAACATCCTGACATATAACGTCCCCATACCAGACAATGTTAACATACCTTTATACAATGTTTATTTTACAGCCAGTGTTTACTTTACTAACACAACATACACACTCACATCCTGTACTTTCTTCAACCAGTGTAAACATACCCAAATACCATGTATATTTTACAGCCAGTGTTAACATACCCCCACATACATCCTATACTTTCTTTAGCCAGTGTTAAAATACCCATTTACCAATGTATATTTTACAGCCAGTGTTAACATACCCACGTATAACATACAAACACACATATTGTGTACTTTCTTTAGCCAGTGTTAACATACCCCTATATCCCAAACTTTCCACAGCCAGTGTTAACATACCCACATATAACATACACAGACACATAATGTGTACTTTCTTCAGCCAGTGTTAACATACCCCTATATCCCATACTGCCCACAGCCAGTGTTAACATACCCACATATAACATACACAGACACATAATGTGTACTTTCTTCAGCCAGTGTTAACATACCCCTATATCCCAAACTGTCCACAGCCAGTGTTAACATACCCACATATAACATACACAGACACATAATGTGTACTTTCTTCAGCCAGTGTTAACATACCCCTATATCCCAAACTGTCCACAGCCAATGTGAACTTCCTAGTAGCAGATGGTATCAAGTTTGCCCATCCTCTACACCACCTGGGAAAATCTACCAGTGACCTGCCGCTGCTGGCCATTGACAGTTTCCGACACATGTACCTCTTCCCCCACAATGTCAAGACAGATTTAACGTGAGTGTCCCTTTCAGAGTGTCAGTCTGCTATATACATAGAACCTGTTTTTGTGAATATGAGACATGGACAACATGCAACAAGCTGAACAGATTTACATGCAGCGGAAATAGAGGTCATACTTTGGCTATAAAGTATTCACTTAACCCTACCAGACCTGAGGCGAGCTCCTGGGCATTACCGCGAAAAAACCAACATGATATACAAAAATATTAGTTACATGCAAACTAGTGGCTAGAATATGATGAAACTTGGAGACATTGTAGAAAATAGGCTTACTTTTTATCCAGCGCCAATATTCCATCTTTGTGTGCGAATCCACTCAGGAGGATCAACCTTGTTTCACAAAGTGAACACCAGATGTTGCTGTTTGAGGGACACGCCCCCTTCTCCAACTATTGATCTATTTCTAGATTTATAATTTTTAAGATTTTCCTCATTATTTGAGCTCTCACTGACTGTGTCAATTCAACTGGGAACGTATTCTTCATGAAATTATGACTCAGCAGAGTCTGAATAAACCAAAGTATTGATCATCTGTTGCACTGTGAAAAGCCTAGACCTACTTTCCTTTCCTGTTGAAGTGCTTGGTTCATCAGCCGCTCGTTTCGTTGTGAATTTTCAGAATTTTTTTCACGTAAAACAACACAAATTTAATCCAAACACATGCGGGCAGACATCTGGAAAGACTATCCACAAGGTCTGATTACGATTGGCTATTTATTTTTAGTCTGTGATGCATCTTTTTCATGTACTACGCAAATTGCCGAAAATTAGGGACATCGGTATAGCGTCAGGTTAAGAAATTCCCGAAAAATAGGTCAGCTGTCTGGTAGGGTTAATTTGTTTCATTTATTTAATTGTTACTGTAGTATGCACCTGACAAAATACAGTGACATATGCCAGGCAGTATATTGTGAAATCTATTGTTTGGGTCTTTTTTTGTTTGCATATTTATATGTTTTATCATATAGCAAACCTGAACTTTTTAGGCAGATCATACAGTACTCTTACATGATGGATGTTTGTTGAATGTTTGTATGTTTATATCATACAGCAAGCCTGGACTGTTGAGGTGCATCATACAGTACTCTTACATGATGGATGTTTGTTGAATGTTTGTATGTTTATATCATACAGCAAGCCTGGACTGTTGAGGTGCATCATACAGTACTCTTACATGATGGATGTTTGTTGAATGTTTGTATGTTTATATCATACAGCAAACCTGGACTGTTGAGGTGGATCATACAGTACTCTTACATGATGGATGTTTGTTGAATGTTTGTATGTTTATATCATACAGCAAACCTGGACTGTTGAGGTGCATCATACAGTACTCTTACATGATTGATGTTTGTTGAATATTTGTATGTTTATATCATACAGCAAACCTGGACTATTGAAGCAGTTTGTAGAAGATCTACATTCAGGAAAGTTACACAGAGAATTTCATCATGGTCCAGACCCGACCACCCAGCCTGAGACTGAACAGGCTGCCCAAGAAGGCGGTGCTGAAACTGTAAGTTTCCTGCATGTTTCTGTTGCTTGCTAGTCTGGTTATATAGACTGTGCGAAAGATGGTTGACTGGAAGGGCTGAATGTAAGACGGGCCTGCATGCCCAATTTGTGACCCTTTGAAAATAAAGTTTGTTCGTTCGACATATCTGTAAAACTGCTAGTTTTCTGTAGATAGATCTGTTTTTTTTTGGAAATCTCTCAGTCTGCTCTAGATAGATCTTTTTTTTTCTTTAAATCTGTTGGTGTACTATAAATAGATCTACTTTCAGCACTTGCCAGTCTGTTTATGTAGACGTATCTTTTCCATTAAATCTGTTGTAGTTTACTGTAGACATATCTATTTTCTAGAATTCTGTTAAGTCTGCAGTAAGTAGATCTGTTTTCTTGAAATCTGTCAGTCTACTCTGCATAGACTGTTCTTTATAAATCTGTTAGTGTAGTGCAGATTGGTTTGTGGGCATATTATTAACAGCCTACGATATGCTGATGATATAGTTTTGTTCGCTTGAAATGAAACACAACTGCAAGAAATGATGGCTATAATTGTAACAGAAAGTCAAAACAAGGGTCCTATTTTAACCAGCAGAACAGAAGTAATGGTAATTACATAGAAAATGGAAGAAAAAGTAAATGGGACGATCTTCACGCAATTTGATAGTTCAAGTACTTGGGTACCTTGATAATATCAGATGGAAAATGTATTTAAAATGTTAAATGTAGAGTAGCTCAAGCAAATGCAGCATTTTACAAAATTGAAAATCTTTATTTGTCAGTAGGAATGAGAAAGTGAATTATCAAAGCTATATAAATCCTTTCTTGGTATATGGAAATGAATCATGGACAGTTGGTAGATTAGTGAAAAATTATCTGGAAGCTGCAGAGATGTCGTTTTATAGATGAATGGTGAGAATACCCTGGACAGATAAAAACAGTAATGAAGATGTCTTGAAAGAAACAAAGAGAACTGATTGTCCTCATCAGAAAGAGACAATCTGCATTCTTTGATCATGTCTGGAATACATTGTGACAGTAGGAAAGTTGGAGGAAAAGAGAGGCAGAAGGAGACAGACAGAAGATACCGGACAGTTTGACATCATGGCATGGAAGTTAATTTGTGTCAGGGTTGATTGAAAGCACATGAGCCAGAGGGTTGAAGATAGACATGACTACCAACGCCACACAACCTGGGCTTTAAGAAGTGAAAATAGATCTATATTGTGCCCTAAATTGATCTTTTTTCTATACATCTGTTAGTGTACTATAGATATATCTTTCAGCTCTTTCCAATCTATTTATGTAGATATATATGTTTCTATAAATCTGTTATAGTTTCTTTTTTCTATACATTTGCTTAGTCTGCTGTAGATAGATCTGTTTTCTGTTGCCTGTCAGTCTACTTATGTAGACTGATCTGTTTAAATAAATCTGTAAGTTAATCATGTTTTATTTAGTAAATCTGCCAGTCAACTTATGCATGTGCTTGTGCTGTCTGTTGGTTGTCATTCTTATTTATGATTTCAGTAAGTCAGTCAGTTTACTCATTAAATTAAGTTTTCAGTGTAAGGCTGTAGAAAGGTTTCTTTTATATTAATCTGTCAGCCTCTTTTAACATCAGCAGACCTGTTTTCTGTACATCAGCTTTATTTTGTTAGATCTGTTTTCTGTACATCCATGTCGACTTAACATCAGTAAATCTATTTTCTTTTCATCTCTGCCTAATGTTGATTGATCTGTTTTCTGCTTCTGTAGATCTGTTTTCTACTTCTATAGATCTGTTTTCAGTACACCTTAGTCTAACTAGTGTTGATTGATTTTACTAGGTGCATTTAAAAAAAAAAGTAAGTCCTGTTTTGACCACAGCGACAAATGCTGATGGATAACGTAAATGTGCATATGCAGTATGTTTATGTGGTTCATTAGCCAGCTGTGTACTTATTGAATGTTAAATTAAGAATCGACATCATAGCACTGGGACATCCCCATAAGCGCTCTATCCCCATCATCAGCAGCAAACAAAAAGTTCCAATTCTGATGGCACCAGTAACTGTCTGATTGTATATCTGTCTCGACCTTCCCTTGACTGTTGAGCATCGGCCAGATCCCCCCGGTAACTCCTTGCAGCGCTATTCTCCTCAGACTGTAATGATCTGTTTGTGCTTCTGCACTTTTCACTCGCTCCCAGAGGGCTTGTCATACATCAGTTCACCACCAAGTGGAACAGAGCCGGCCAGGTTCTGGAACAAGACTAAAGTCCAGAGATGGACGAACAACCAGAACTTTGCACCAGATTTACACCCGGTGAACACGAAGAAGATGTGTGTTCACTGTCATGATTGCATTCTCACCAATATCCTTGCATGACTTTGACTTGTGGTTGTCATTTTATTTCAGAAAAACATTCCAAGGGACTCCAGTGATGAATCAAAACCACTCTCTCAACAAAAGAATACTTCTCCTCCAGAGTCAACATTTAAAAAATTGGCACCTTCTCGGAATCGTTACACAATTTTACGCGATGAGTTGTAAACTCAGCATTATCTAGTTCCATGTTATTTCAGATGTTTGTATTCAGTTTGTGGTTGTAAGGAGTGAAAACGAAAAACAGCAAGCACAGTTTTCCTACTATTTTGTCAAGTTATCTGAGAGTGACATGTCATCTGAGATGTGGTTGACCTAAGATGGTGGAAACGACGTAGTCTGGATACAGGTTGAACACAGTAATCACTTCCGATATTCTTGCAAGGGTGTAATCGTCTCTGACACATGATAGTTCTGTACAGCAAGAACATATTCTTATCCACTGTGACAAATTATCGTCAATCAGCTTTGATATTTTTGTGTTTAATAAATGTCTGAATAAATGTACTAGTGATTTTTGTGTCTAGTGAACTGTTTGAATAAATATTAGGGCTGTACCGAATAGTGATTTTCACTATTCAGCCAAATAAGAATAGTGGGACGAATACGAATAGTGTATCATCATCATCAGGTGCCTTGCTGACTGGCGTGGGCGTTCATGCCTCTCCACAATCTGCTATCTCCTGCAGCATGTATCAGTTCGTGTGCTGACACACATCCATGCCATGCAACAAGACTGTCAAAAATCTTCTATCGTTGTCTTCCTCTACCCCTCCTTCCACAGATCTTTCCAGTGGTCACCAAATGTTCCATTTTCCCTCTTCTCATTACATGGCTTAAAAATGACGACTGTTGTCTTCTGGCTCCCGCCTTAAACCATCGTTCGCTCGGCTGTCCGTTCGATGTAATTTAAACACACCTTCATATTCTCGTTAGCAATATCTTCAAATTTGATTTGGGCGAAGCATAATCTCTCCCCCCCCCCCTCTCTCTCTCTCTCACACACACACACACACAGACACACACTCACACACACACTGCGGTTGGCATTTTATGCAGTTTGTACCACGCAACCGGGTTGCAGTTTCACAGCATATATTGTGTTAATGAGAGAGTTATTTCAGTCCATCTCAGTGTATGCAGAAACTGGAATAAGGTAACAATATTCGTATTCGACTCGGCCGAATACCGAATAGTTATTAGGTCCACTATTCGACCCCAAAGCGAATATTCTGTACAGCCCTAATAAATATAAAGGTAATTTGTTGGTTCATTAAGTGGACTGTTTGAATAAACATTCAGGTGATCTTTGTGTTTAGTAAACTGTTTGAATAGATGTATTTTTTTTTTTTAACGTGGGCTGTCTAAATAAATGTTCAGATGATTTTTGTGTTTAGTGAACTGTTTGATGGATATTAAAATGATTGTTTTGTTTTAATGGGCTGTCTGAATAAATGTTGAATTGATTTTTGTGGTTAATGGACTGAATAAATATTCAGGTAATGTTTTTGTTTAGTGGGCCTGTCTCTATAGGCCCACCCCAAAGAGTTACCATTTTATTTCTGAGTTATTATATATTGACATCCTTCTTCTTCATTGGTTTGCCTGAAATAAGTTGTCTGTATCAGCAGTTTTGTCTCTAGTATCAATTTCACTGCTGCTTTTAGTTCAGTCAGTGTTCCGTAGAGTTTCCGTTCTACTGTTGCTCTTTGTGGGCCAAACAGTTTACCTTAATGTGTCAGATTTGATGCAGTCCTGGAGTACATGCTCTGCTGTCTGGGGCAACTTTCCACATGTGCACATGGCTGATACACCTGTCTAGAATTTTACGTACGTGTGGTAAATATTGACATGACGCAAGGTGTCAGTACACTGGGAGTAACAAACAATATTGCACTCTGCATGGTGATGTAGAGGGCTGGGAAAGCATTTATTGTCAGTTGACGTGTGAAGTTGAGAGTATCGGCTACACCAGACCTTTGTGCGATTCTAATGTTTATCAATTATAATATGTTTTCTTCAGTATGACTAGTAAAAATAATCGGGCCTGTGGCCGACCTTCTGAATGAAAAAAAAAACAGATCTTAGCTAACTGATTTGATGTTTTTATGAATGTGAGTGATCCTAGGTGAAGTTAGGCAGTATATTTTATCCTCACTGAAATTAGTATATTTTATTCTGAGTAAAGTCAAACAGTATATTTTATCCTTGCAGAAGTCAGGCTGTATATTTTATCCTGACTCATTTTGGGTTATTTTTTTTTTAATTCCTAATGAAATTTGGTGGTGTATTTAATATGCAGATAAAGGTAGTAACTATGTTTTACTCTAAACAAAGTTAGGGAGTTGCCATGGTGTAGCAGCTGGGCTGACCTGTGAGCCTGGAGGTCATGGGTTCAAACCGGCATCGAGCTAGATTTTTTTTCAGAAACTGACATTTGCTCTGAGGTTGATCTAGCTTAAAATGGGTACCAGATGAAGTCTTGGGAGGTGAAAGTGGACGACCTGATATTAACCACATCACCCACCGATTGCCAAATGGTCTCTAAAAAATAGATCTAGTAGAGCTTTATACCCAGTATGTCTAAGTTTGTGGAAAGTGTTTTAACTTTACTTTTCCTTAACAGTATAAGCCTAATCTGTTTCAGTGAAAAACATTTCCTTGCCACAGAGATGTGGTTGCTGAAAGTAATGCAAAGAATATAATGGAAGGAAAGAAAAACAAACAAAGCAGTCCTCAGCAAGACAGAGGAAAGTCACAAACCTATTAGAACAATTACATGTAGACAGTCATTAAACATTAGAACAATTAGATGTAGACAGTCATTAAACATTAGAACAATTAGATGTAGACAGTCATTAAACATTAGAACCATTACATGTAGACAGTCATTAAACAGAACAATTAGATGTAGACAGTTATTACACATTAGAACAATTAGATGTAGACAGTCATCAACCATTAGAACAATTAGATGTAGACTGTCATTAAACATTAGAACAATTACATGTAGACAGTCATTAAACATTACAACAATTACATGTAGACAGTAATTAAACATTAGAACAATTACATGTAGATGGTAATTAAACATTAGAACAATTACATGTAGACGGTAATTAAACATTAGAACAATTACATGTAGACGGTAATTAAACATTAGAACAATTACATGTAGACAGTCATTAAACATTAGAACAATTACATGTAGACAGTCATTACACATTAGAACAATTAGATGTAGACTGTCATTAAACATTAGAACAATTAGATGTAGACTGTCATTACACATTAGAACAATTAGATGTAGACAGTCATTACACATTAGAACAATTAGATGTAGACAGTCATTACACATTAGAACAATTAGATGTAGACAGTCATTACACATTAGAACAATTAGATGTAGACAGTCATTACACATTAGAACAATTAGATGTAGACTGTCATTAAACATTAGTACAGTTAGATGTAGACTGTCATTACACAGAACAATTAGATGTAGAATGTCATTACACATTAGAACAATTAGGTGTAGACTGTCATTACACATTAGAACAATTAGATGTAGACTGTCATTAAACATTAGAACAATTAGATGTAGACTGTCATTACACATTAGAACAATTAGATGTAGACTGTCATTACACATTAGAACGATTAGATGTAGACTGTCATTAAACATTAGAACAATTAAATGTAGACAGTCATTAAACATTAGAACAATTAAATGTAGACAGTCATTACACATTAGAACAATTAGATGTAGACAGTCATTACACATTAGAACAATTAGATGTAGACAGTCATCAACCATTAGAACAATTACATGTAGACAGTCATTAAACATTAAAACAATGAGATGTAGACAGTCTTGTGTTTTTCAGACATGTTATGAGAATGAATGGACTTGAGAACTTGGTAACACCTGGCAAGATTGAATGAAAGAGAGCCAGAGGAAGGCAAAGAGATAAATACCTGGATGGCCTGGCCAGATGGATGGGGCGAGACAAAAACTGAATGGATCCATGATTCTTGTGATTGTGTAAGATGGCGAAACATGACAGCGTGAGCTTACCGACACAGCACATGATGGTGATGATATGAGTGAAATCAAAATGGTAAAGTTGACTTACTGTCAGGTATCCAAATAATGACATTTTTGAAACTTTACTGCATTTGTATGTGAACAAAATCAGACATTATATTTTGTCTGTAATATTGGGCAGTATATTTTATTTATGAACAAAACCAGACCCCTATGGGTTCGGGGGTCCCATATTTAGGAAACAAATAATGGACCCACTACTACTTAAATACGTCAGCTGCATCTCACGGTCGGTGCTGGAAACCGGGGTTCACCCAGCCTCTAGGAAATGGGTACCAGAGTTAAGACTCTGGGGTAAATGGAGGAACATCGCTGTAGCCACAGAGTTAGGGGCTGACAGCGACACAGGCGGACATTTCTTATCAGCTGTCCGTACTGGTGGCAGAGCACTTATGGTTTATAACCGCGTGCAGTGACACTGGTTCACATCTCCCGACTTTACCTTTTATAAAATGTGACTAATGAGTTTGCTGAAATCGACTGTGTTGGTAGATTAGTGAACAGTTTTTTGGAATAATGATGAGAATAGCCTGTACAGATAAAAAGAGTAATGAAGATGTTTTGAAAGAAACTGACTTACAAAGAAAACTGATTGCCCACATCAGTAAGAGACCATCTAAATTCTTTGGTCATGTGATAAAAAGAAGAAAACTGGAGTACATTGTGACAGTAGGAAAGTTGGAGGGGAGGAGAGGCAGAGGAAGACCGAGAGACAAGATGCTGGACAGTTTGACATCATGGCATCTGTGTCAGATTTGATTGAAAGTACACGAGACAAGGTTGTGGATAGACAAGACTACCAATGCCATACAGCATGGACTGTAAGAGGAAGAAGCACAGATATCACAGCCTAGATATAAACCATAAGGTGCGACCCGCCTCTTTTGAAGACCATGCAGAAGAAGACATATGTTATTCTGAACTGATATTACAAAAATGTTAGCAGTATATTTTATTATAGATATATTACAAATATTAAGGTAGTTTGTCTTGTTTTTCCGTGATGTTAGACCATAGATTTTATTTCTGGGGAAGTTGGCTAGTATGTTCTAGTTTGATT